TCTTTTTCAATGGTGCTGTAATTTATTTCACTGGTATTCAAAGTCCGAGATGCGTACGCAATAGGTTTGTCACTATTGATAGGGCCTTGCGATAACACGGCGCCTATTGCTAAATTAGAGGCGTCTGTTGTTAAGATAAAATCTTTAGAGAAGTCCGGATACTGTAAGATGGGATCATTAGTAAGCAATAATTTACATTTTTCGAAACAATTTATATAATTTTGATCTAGCGTTATTTTAGAGCCTTTTTTCAAACACGTCGTTAGAGGTTTAGTTATCTTCGCGAAATCCGGTATAAATTTACGATAGTAACCCAATAAGCCTAAAAATCTCTTAATCTCGGTTGGAGTTTTTGGTAATGGATATTTCTTTATAGCTTCAATTTTGTCAGGATTGGGCTTAATGCCATCCTTGCTAATAACATGACCTAAATATGAAGTCTCGAGTTTGAGGAACTCGGACTTGTCCATCTGTATCTTAAAGTTAGAATCGCGTAGTCTTTTAAAAACTTTTTCTAAATTGACAATGTGCTCCTGTAATGACGTACTAAATATAATAACGTCATCAAGGTAAACTAGACAAATAACGTTTTGGAGCCCTCTAAGGACATTGTCCATTACCCGTTGGAAAGTACTCGGAGAATTCTTTAAGCCCATAGGCATTCTTAAAAATTCAAAATGGCCGTGTTCGACGTTAAATGCAGTTTTCGGTATATCTGAAGGTTCCATTTCGACCTGATAGAATCCACTAGCAAGATCTAACGTAGTAAAATATTGGCAGTTGCCCAATTTATCTAATATGTCGGTGATGTTAGGGATCGGATATTTATCGTCGATTGTTTTTTCATTTAATTTACGAAAATCTACAACAAGGCGCCATTTAGTTTTGCCGGATGCGTCAGCTTTCTTGGGAACCACCCAGATTGGTGAACTCCAAGCCGATTGAGATGGTCTAATGATTCCCTGTTCTAACATTTTGCTAATCTGATCTCTAACTTCCTGCCTATGCACGTATGGATAGCGATAAGACTTAGTGTAGACCGGTACCTCGTCAGTAGTTTTAATAGAATGTTTTATCTGATTAGTAAATGTTAATTTTTCTCCTTCAATATAAAATACGTCCGCGTAATGAGCGCATAAATTTTCTAAGTTCGCGCGTTCTTCCGCATTTAAATGATTTGTTCGTAGTCGCGAGAGCACTTCTGTAGCACGCGTAGTCAAATCCGTAGCGCGCGAATGACGTAATGTCTCGATATTATATGAGCACCAATGAGAAGGCTCGATATTCGTAGCACTACCCGACGTCGTAGCAGGTGGCTTGGTACATGTGTACTCGATATTGTATAGTTCAGCGTTAAGGTGACGATCTACCGAAAAAATAATGTCGTGTTGAGTGGGATTGGTAACTTCGATAATTCCGCGACTATTTCTAACATTTGTAAGACACTCACCTATGATACAATTAGAGACACTCACCTATGATAGTCACAAGAATTTATTGGTAACCTTATTAATTTAGATGAATGGGCCGGAATAATATCTTCGTACAAATTTACGTTTCGCGAGTCGTAAACGTGAATAGGATTATTAGCGTAACGAGTAATAAGAGTCTTATTTTTAAAGTCGATAGACGATTCCCATTTATTTAACAAATCGGACCCGATGAGTCCATCAAAATAATCGTGAAATTTATAAACGTAAAATGTGACGCTGTCTGTGTCCTGGAATTCCGGGAAACACGGCAATGTTATAGAATAGTCACACTTACTCACTGCGTGAACATTGACAACCTCAAATGGTTCGTACTTTAATGGAACACACGAAAAATATTTTTCAACTGCCGCCGGGCTGATGAAAGACTGGTTAGCTCCGGTATCTATAAGTAGTTTTAATGGTGGATCAGATATTTTTATATATGGTAACTGTCTTTGTGTCTGTAAGTTAAGTTCTATTTTGGTTTGTCGGATCGGCATGTTTTCTGAAAAACCTCAACGTTACACGATGGGGTAGTTTCCTCTGATTGTTCGTCACTGTTCTCTAAACTATTTATTTCTGGATAGTAATAAGGATCATAATTATAATTACATGGATATTCACTGTTATCGTAATAACACTCCGGTTCACCGTAACTGTAATCGGAGTTGTTATCATAGTAAGACCCGTATTCATAGTCGTTACACTGATTATAATTAATTTCTTTGGTTTTAAAATAGTTGCTAGGTGGGGGATTGCCAAATTTTCGCCAATCATGTCCACTGGGTGGTAAAGGTTTCGTAACAAAATTACTTACACCGCTCATAGGTTTCGGTGCCTGTGAAGTGGAGGGGAATGCATAATTTCTATTAGGGACTCTAAATATGTTGCTTTGCGGGTTATAGTTCGGTGGTAAAGCTCTGAACATCTGCTGTGTTCTAGTTGGTCCACGGTTCATTTGCGGTTGAATGGGATTCGATCTCCATTGTTGAGAGGGTGGCATCATTTGAATAGGATGAGGTCGGGAAGGACCTGGCATGTTAAAATTGAAAGGTTTGTTAGGTGGCATATAAACTGGTGGGTTATAATAAGACTTAGCAGGAAGTTGATTCAATATATTTGGGGTTGCTTTCTTATCTGGTAAATTATCGTTTCGTTGTTGCATATACAAAATATTAATTTCCTCTTGTACGAATTCTAACGCCTGTTCTATAGATTGGGGACGCATACATCTAATACGCGAACCTAATGGTTCTTTTAATCCGCGTAAGTAAGACTGTAATGTTAATTTTTTATACAGTTGACGTTTGGCCTCAATTGTACTATCTACAAAATCATGCAATGTAACATATGTCATTATTGTGCTGAAAAGAGTCTGACAGCGTTCATAAAATTCTTGTGGGGTGTGATTGCCCTGAGATTGTAATGCTAAGTCGTTATATAGCGCCGTTTCGTCGCGTTGATCGGCAAAGTTATTTATTAGGGCATTTTTAATTCCTTGCCAGTCACTAGGGATCCCGTTTGAATTAATAAGACGGGCGGCGGGCCCCGTGATTTTATTTAATATTCCGTTTAGCAAGGCCTGGTTCTCAAAATCATGTCCAGTGTCGATCTTTACATGCCTTAGAACTAGTTGATCGCATAGGCGAATAAACAGTGTTAAAACATTAGGGTTCCCGTCGAATTCTGGGAGTAGCCTTAATGATTTAAAAATTTCGTCTATGGAGTCTGCCATTTTATTACTATATGAGATAAATTGCGCCGATTCGCACGTTTCCTCTGAACTTATATCTAAATTTCTAAACTCGTCTAACCTATTTTGTCTATCTAATCTAGGGGAAACGGCCCCCGATTGCCTGGGATGGAAAATTTTGGAAGGAAATTTACACACTAGAAAATAAAAGGATTATACTAGGAAAAGTCATTTCATGCTTCTTCTAGGTACCTTTGCCGTATCGATTTCTGGATACTCCTGCGCCGCTATTCGCCTTAGGTTCAGGATATTCGAACGCGACTTGATAGCCACTCGGGCGGCTCGTGCGTACGGAAATCTTCTTATGTAGCCCGAAACCGACCGCGAATATCCTACCGACTGCGCCAATTAAGGACGACGGCAGCGTAGGATGCAAAAAAAATGATTTTCCCCAAAGAAATTTATTAAAGATAAGAAAAATTACAATTAATTTTATTATAATTAAAAGCTATTGACAATGTTCGATGTAAGAATCAAAGTGAACAGAAATTCTTGCGTTAGCCGCAGGTTGCGACCCGATGCCTCACGTGTTGTCGAGTCAGCGCCTCGTGACGGCGTTGTCGCAATTTATTATTTATTTCAGGTAATCGAGGTATCTGCTGCATCGGCGTTTCCGTTATAACGCGAGGGCATAACACACTGACTGTATTTGTCATGTTCTTGTTACTGTTTCTGCTAGGAGTGTTTTTCGTAAATGTCCTGTAGGTCAATTACACATCTTAAAAAAATCTCAATTACTTACGCCATTGTTCTGTCTACCTGAAATCCAATAGTGCTATGTCTTCCTCACACATCAATGGTGACAGATATATATAATAATAATAATTCTTTATTTTCACAAAGAGACAAGGATACATTTTTATGACCACCCTGACATCTGTGGTAGGTATATAAAACCTTAGTTTCAGACACCAGTATCCTCTACCGACTTAGAGAACATATTAACCCACGTGATATAAATTATGAACCATTACAAGAAAAAAATGGAAACAAAAGCAATGGAGTTAATAAATAAGTGTGAGAAAGAAGGAGAGAGAATGTGTGTATGAGTGTATGAATATATAATATGTTATTATACTAAGAAAATCTTCAATATTGACGGTCTGTTTGAGGGAAACAAAGGCTAATAGCTCATCCAATATTAATTCTGTTAGTTGAGTAATGTTTCTGTATTATTATAATTAAGAGATAATAGCTAATTTTTTTACTTGAAGGTATTTAGCGTCACGTGTTGAAAGAGGATGTATATTGATTATTTTATTATATAAGTGAATTAAAATTATAAGTAATGCTCGCTTGCTGACGCCTTGCGAAGGCCGTCCGATATCTAAGAGTGAAATGAAAATATCTTTATTTACTTTTGAATCATCCAAAATTTTTTTTCCCTACCACTTGTTCAGGACGTCTTTTAGCTAACAAGAAGAACAAGCGAAATAAACTTACCAGCTCTTTATCATAAGTAATGACATTAACAAAATCATGTCATTACCAAACTAATACGTATTATCACAATAATAAACAGTTAGGCAGTTGTGAGTTAGGAAAATTATATTAAACTTCAGGTATGTTGATTTTTAAGTGAACAGAATTCACCTACGGGCAATTCACCTAAACAGTCAAACGAAATATTATACTAAATATAGTTCTAATATAAATAACAATATCAATATAGCATTGTGAATTCAAAAATGATACAAATGGACACCTTGAATCCGATTTGGCCACAATCACTAAACTAGCCAAACACCTCTGACTAAGCTTCATTTATTTTACAGGTCTTCACAAATGCAACTCCTCAGCATTGGTGCGCGCCACCACCAGAACTTGACTCCTTGAATCTCTCCGACGAAGTTCTTCGTTCTTTGACTGTACCTGAGGATAATGGGGTCTACCAATCTTGCAGAGCGTATACTGTGGATCCTAGGGCGTTGTATGCGGCTTTAAACGATTATATCGACGAAAGGTAAATTTAAATAAGGCCGTAATCAACTTTTCTTGAAATATTTTTTAGAGCTTTCTGTCCGCTGCTTCGCCTGCGAAGAATTCCGTTAATTTAACACCACACACATACACAAACTGCAAATTTTTAGCATTATATCATAAAAAAAACTACTTTTAAGTAGGTAATAATTACTTATGATAAAAGATAAATGTTTGGGACTGTAACAAAGGTGTATATTCAACCCCACGTTACAAAACTATCTAGTGCTTCAAATCTCGGACAGTTCAATCGGTTAAAGCAGTCACTCTGATCGCGAGTAGGTATAGGTCGGAATTTCATCTTGCCACTGGTTAATTATACAAGCATTTTTTAAGAAAGATATCTTTATTGCAGTTTCAAATGCCAATTGCTTACAAATTTTATGGCAGATAAACAATCTGTCTGGATACTACAAAAAAAAAATTATATACGTATAAATGGTTTTTAGGGTTTCCGCACCTAAATGGTAAAAACTATGTGTTTATTATGGTTCCTGATACTAAGATTTCCCTGACCGTACGTCCGTTTGTTGCTATGTCCGTCTTTCATTAGGCTGAATCCCATGAAACGTGACAATTATATAGTTAAAAATTTCACAGATGATTTATTTCTGTTGCAACTATTACATCAAATACTAAAAACAGAATAACATAAATATTTAAGGAGGTTCTCGTTATTTTTTTTGCTCGTTTAAGGTAGGGAATCCTACATGCGCAAGTCCGAGTCGTACTTGACCGGTTTTTAAGGTACATTAACCTTTCAGGTCAGAGTTTATCAGGGAAGGTGGTGCTCTGAGAATGGTGTTGATTCGACAATTGGTTCCAGCTGTAGGAGAAGCGGAAAGAAAAAAACAGGTTAATATAATTAAACTCCCAAATATTTCTTTCTAAAAAAAAAATTCATAACCAATGATATTTGCTGAAATTGTAACAAGATAGATCATTTAATAAAACCATCACAATTTTCCCAGAATTATATAGACTTATTTTTAACCGACTTCAAATCAAAATGAGGGGAGGGGGTTATATGTTCGACGGCGATCTATGTCTTTTTATATATCATCATCATCATCACCAGCCCTTTTACGTCCCCACTGCAGGGGCTCAGGCCTTGCGTATGGATGGTTAAGGAGGATGATCTATGACCCTCCACGCTGGCCTAATGCGGATTGGAGGGTATTAACGACTGCAAATGCAGACGGGACCAACGGCTTAACGTGCCTTCCGAAGCACGGAGTAGCTCGAGATAATAATTTTTTGGTCACCCATTCCGTGACCGACCCTTGCGAAAGTTGCTTAACGACTACGATCGCGGGCCGCGGCGCTTATCCACTACGCCACCGAGCTACTCACTTTTTATATATGGTCACTAATATTTTCGTCAATTGTTGACCGATTTTCAATATTCTTTTTATTCGACAGCTTGATTGATCAAGATTTAATAAAAGTCGAATAAGTAGTGTTTTTTTTATAACAAAACAAAATACTCTTTCTAGCAGATATCACCTAAATATTAAGATGCATGTTATAACATGGCCTATTCCAGCTAAAAAAATAAAAGATTGCGTATGTATCCTTTACTCTTTGATGTATATTTTTTTATGTATTTTAGGTTTTAGGTATCAATGAGTAAAGTACATATGTATAGGGATAGGTATGGATATCGATTTCTTCTTGAATTGTGAACTAATTTCTATCAAACTAGCTGTTTCCCCGCGACTTCGCCTGCTTAAATTATAGCTTATGTCCGCTGTGTATTATGTAGCTTCCCGTAAGGTAGTAAAGTAAAGTTTAGTAAAGTTTTTTATAAATCGGACCTATAGTATCGCCTATCCAGTGCAAACAAACGCAATCGTTTATAAGTTCTGTTTTTCTTCTTATTATATCATGCATCGTCATCGCTGTGCCTTCATACTTCGTACATCAGACATTGCATAATTATAAGTTCTATTTCATTCTCATTCCAGATTTCAAGAGTGACTGAGGCTATTCTTTCATTAAGAAGCAAGGAGACAGAACCTTGCGCACATGGTTGGAGATACAGCACGGAACACTATTTGAGAACGCTCGTTACCGATGTAAGATTAAATATGTTATTTCAATGTTGATATTTTCTTGAACTTGTGCAGATGACCCAGTTTTGGCTATTTTAAGAGTTACGAGGAAGGGAACTTTGACACATCACAGGTATTAGTTTACACGTCAACAGTATTAATTTTGCTATTGAGTAACATTTTAAAAACTATTCACGGAAAATCTACATTTGCAGGTTAGTACGCCTTAAAGTGCATAATGACCAAAAAAGCTACATCAACCAAAACCGGGTCGGCTGCCCTATTTCTATTTAGTGCCAACTATTGCTGTTTCTAGTTTTTTGGTCTTCCTATTTCTTGTTTGTCGCAAGAAGGCGGACAACTGCATGGATCAAACAAATATTAGAACAGTTGACGTCTTCGTGATTTACTCTACTTTCTAAAAAAATATATTTAACCTTAAATTTTAGTTTTCCTTGGTCTGCGATCAGGAGTGGATGCCGCGAACCGGTAACACTCTCTTCTGGGTGGGGTCAATATTTGGAAATCTAATTTTCGGATGGATGTCAGACAGGTTGGTAATAAAAATATTTTTATAAATAAATAATCTGATTATCAATGCTTCGTAGGAAATATTAAGTTCCGGCTGCATCTGGAGTTGTTAACACCCACAAACTACACTGAGTCCGCGTGGTGGACCATTGAAATGACATCGATTGTATCTTTAGATGGAACATAAATGACTTTAGTAAGGTTGTAGAATTTAACAAGCTACTGCAACAGTATGTCTTTACATCCATACCACCGATTCAGATAATCATATTTAACGATCATACTAAAAGCTGTTTTGACCAAGTAAGTGGCCAGATGTTAGCTGTTTTTAACGCTAATTAACTCCACGAGAATCTGTTTTGGCATATATACAAACATGTGGTTATAGACGAACATGTGCTATTTGAACAAACAAATGTCTCATCAAAAATTACGATTCTCATAAACATTATTATTGCGTTATTTTCGTGGCACATATAGTACCATAAATACTAGTCCGAATAATAAATATCATATTCAAATTTATCATATCATAACAAATAAGGCATTGGGACTCTTCGATTAAGTTAATAGAAGACGAACCCCTTTCATAAAGATTTTCAAATTCTTGTTATAACAATAGTATTGAAAATATGCATAGGATATTTTATGTTTTTTATTTAGTTCCTTAAAAGTTTGTTAGATAAGTATAATAATTATTTTGTTTATAAAATTTGTTTAGGTACGGTCGTAGACCAACAATACTACTGATGATACTGCTGGAAGTGCCCTTAGCCATAGCTGCATCTTTTCCCAATACTTATTGGTCTTATGCTGCTATCAGGATAGCTGGTGGACTATTCTTTCCCGCGTTGTATCAACAGCCCTTTATATTAGCTTTGGAATTAATGCCACCTAAGAAAAGACCACATACTGGTAAGGAAATAAAATTTTAATATTTTAACTGTCTTTTATCCTCATCTGTTATCTTGGCGTACATAACTACAAATTGCTAACTAAATTTTACTTTTTCGAGTTTAGTTAACTATGAATCCTATTTCAGGTATCGTGGTTGGAATGCTATTTGCCAGCGGAATGTGTTTATTAGCTTTATTGGCTTATGCTATAAGAGATTGGTTTTACTTATCTCTTGCGACAAGCCTACCGTTTGTGTTTCTCTTTGGGTAAGGAAGCAATTGTAAGGATCTGTGATATGTTTATATTTGATAAATTCTTAATTCAACTTAATTTTGTATTGCAGTTATTATTGGCTCATACCGGAATCTCCGAGGTGGCTTGTTGGTCGCGGCCGCATAGCAAAAGCCGAGAAAGTATTTAGGGACTTAGCGAAAAAAAATGGAATAGATCTACCTCGCGGATTTCTTCTGGATCTTCACGTGAGTTTCATTTCAAATCAAATTCTGTTGAAAATAATAAATGTTAATGATTGCCTTATAGTATTTATATTATACCTAAATTACAGAAAAAAATTAAAGATGAAGAATCTGAAGTAACAATGCTCAATAACATGAATGGGCATCTTACTAACTTTTCTGATATACCAGAAAAGGAAGACTACGACAGAAGAATAAGTAATATGCTTACTTTTAAACCAGATCTTAGCAGAATAAATGAATTAGAAGAACCAAACAAAGTTGAAGATTTAGAAAGAATATTAGCCCTTCAAGTTGCTGAGATAGTAAACAAGAAAGATAAATTAAAAAAAGAAATGGAAAATATGCATGAAGAGTCAAAAGAAGATGGCTCTAATGATGAATCTCGATTAAATCTTGATGTAATACAAAAGTCAACTCAAACTGACCCCTATAGAAAATCTCCAACAAATACGTTAAGAAGAAAATCTATACAAATAGTGACTAGAATATTTATAACAGATGACGCCGAAGAAGATGCTATAGATAATAAAAGAATGGATGATCAGAACTCAGAAGGAGATTGTAAAGCTTCTCCCCTAGATGTTTTCAGATATCCTAATATTCGGAGGAAGTTTTTTCTTTTAACTTTTAACTGGGTAGCATTGGGCGTTGTATATAATAGTTTAAGTTATAATACACCTAATTTAGGCGTCGATGATTACTTAGCTTTCTTTATAGGTATGCATATTTTATTATTTTTATAGAATTGTTTACTAATATAATAAAATATCAATGAGAGACCCACCAAGCGGGCCCATTCCGGTTGGGTGGATGTTAATGACAGCAAATACAGCTGGGACAAATGGCTTAGCGTGCCTTCCGAAGAAGGGAAGAGCTCGAGATAATAAACTTTTGTCATCAATCGTTGATTCTGTAGTCTGAAAAAAATATCTTTGAATTCCTCACCTATCACATGATCTACATCAATAAATAGGAAGTTAAATTCAGTTCCTAGGTGTATCAGAAACTTAATTATTCTCCTACGTTAGATTTAAAATTCTTTAACAAAATAATATATTTATCATGATCCTGCGATATAATTATAAATTTATTTTTCATCATATTTTATTTATTAACAAAACTTTAGAATGCCCTGGGTGCCGAACTTTCGCATTAGTTTCCTACAATTATTACCAAAACTTAATCAAGTATTAAGTTTAGTGTCATAATTATATCACTAAACTTAAACTGTTTCAATCCTATTATAATTATATTCGTATTCTTAATGAAAAATGCTTAAAAAATTCACTTTGTCCCCGGTACTTTGAAGTGGGATGAGAAAACTGGATTTTATTTTTATATAAAAAATAGTAAAAATCGTATTCATTTAACTATGCACATAATGAAATTCCTAGGCATTTAACTATGTTACAGGTATTTTTATGTTACTACGACAGATAAAAAGACGAAATTAGAAATTGTATTATTTTTCCAGGAGGAGCAGTAGAACTTCCGTCGTATTTTATTGCATGGCGGTGTATGGACCGATATGGTCGCCGATGGGTGCTCTGTATCTTTATGAGTATTGGAGGATTAGCTTGCATCAGCTGTATACTTGTACCTGAAAGTAAGATATAATTAATATTGATCCTGTTCATTTATTTCAGTATCTTAATCTTATCTCGCTTATATTTTATTAATGAAAAATAGAATCTTTATAAAGAAAGAAAAAAGCCTAAAATAATTTTTATGAATAATTGATAGTTAATCTTTGGCTAACTATTATTCGGCGATTTTTCCCGCGTAAATTCTAGCCCATTGCATCCCCGTTTAATGTAGCTTCGCGTAAGTGAATAAATTTCTATGATCCGATTAGTTATTATTATTCGAAGATTACCCATTACAAACAGACAACGTTAGAAACTCTATATAATATTAGTATAGATGATCCATTTATTAATGTGATAAAATAAATGTACTTGTTTCAGCATGGCCATGGATCACCGTTTTTTTGGCAATGTTTGGTAGATTATTCATCGCAGCATCATTTGCAATTTTTTATGTGCAAATTGGCGAACTGCTACCAACTGTCTTAAGAGCACAGGCGATGGGTGCAGCTTCTTTCATATCAGGACTAGGACTTCTCGCATGCCCTTACATTGTGTTCTTGGTATAGTATATTTTAGAATTATAATTATTCAAATAAATACTTTTGTAATTCGAGAACTTACATTATTTATATAATTTTTTTCTCATCTCAGTAGATCAATTCGATTCAATTCAATTTTTATTGCTATCATATGGTAAAACAAGCTATTATAATAAATAAGTCCCTTAACAGAAATTGTGTGAAGATACAGTAACATATATACAATTGACATTAGCTATTTCATATTTATTATGTTAATTTATTCTTAATTGAAATAAAAGAATACCCAAAAGGCGAACTTACTGCCCAAGGCATTCTCCACCTAAAGACCAGTCGTAAGGCGATAAGAATAAAATAGCATGCAGTAACATAAGTTTTATACCAACTATATACACACATTCTTACACTTTAATTAAATTTAGATCACTTAAATCTAATAATATTAAAAGACAAATAAAATAATATAAATAATATTAGACAAATAAACCTTATTCCGATTAGCGATAAAAAAGCGGGATGAAACATCAATAAATTTGTGACTTTGATGTTAATAGCTATTCTACAAAAAATGTAATAAAATCCTTAAATACCGTATCGGCATTCCCTTCAACACAATCAAAATATATAAAAACTAGGTATTTTATTTGTAAATTCAATAATACCTTATATTAATTACAGGCAACTTACTCCAGGGCACTACCTCTCATAGTGATGGGAATTCTTAGTATGGCAGCTGCTATTACGTCGCTCTTCCTACCTGAAACTTTAAATCAACCTCTTCCGCAAACATTAGAGGACGGAGAAACATTTGGAAGAGATATTAAACTGTTAAGCTGTGTTAAAAACCCGAAGAAATGCACTCGAAGTGATTTAGATTAATGAAATTAAATAGAATACTGTTGTGACGTTAAGTATCGACGCATATCTAATGGTAGATGCGTTGAAATGACATTCAAACTTGCACAATTTAAAGAAAATTCGCCTTGTTCTAAAGCATATTTCTGTTAGATGTTGGACAGATCTTCTATCAGTCCTAAGTCGACTATCATTCCACAGAAGTATTAAGGAAATTCAATCAAAGTGTTAGCTAAAAAATAGAATTAGCCCTTTTTTTAATATTGGAGCCCGTGCGTTATTTCTGTTAGAATATTTCGAAGCTGATTTTGAAATCTGTTTGCAAGAATTACGATTACAACATACACTTTTATGATATTATTAACTTGTATATAAAATTATCAGTATTTAAATAGAACTAGTCGTGAATGGTTTAATTAATTAGAGTAATTAGCATAATTGTGAATTAAATAGCTTTAAGTTAAACTTTATTATAGATGAGTAAATATTTTTTATAACATTGTTTACATTATTACTTCCTTTTTATACCATGTTGTTACCACTTAATTCAGTGGCGCCCAAACATTCGTTTTTTTCTCAAGAAAACACTTAGCTGAATTTCAATTAATGTGGATTATTAAATTAGTGAGTATTCATTTCTTTAATGACATTTGACGTAACTTCGTGTTGAATTGGTATTATTTGTGAATTGAAACATACGCTTATAACATTTCATTGTGTCCTTCTCTATACTTATATTTTTCTTAAATAAAATGACGACTGCAGATATTAATACTATTACAAGACCAATATATATTTTAAATTGTGTATTATTTTCAAAAATATATATTCAACTACACAAAGGCTACCACTATTTGGTTGCCATTATGAATTGCCATTATGAATTCATTGCTATTGTTTTATCATTTCACGCAGCAATCAATAGAATTGAAAAGGATATTAATGGTTGGCTTACTTTATACGTAACTCTGACTTGACAATTATTCATATTGTTCTATTGTTTACAAATTTTGTATATAGATTAATGAGTGTTCGTCTCTACAATAAATTGAAAGGATTAAACGCAGTTTTTTATAACCATGATCATTCCAGAAAGTTAAAATTATTGAATCGGATGATGTGTTCTATATTTTTTGTATACCATTACTCCTTAATGACTCTGAAATATGTTTTTGATATGCGTTGGATATTAGCCAAAGTAACATTTTTATTTATTACATTATTATAATAAAAAGAAATATTACTTTGGCTAATACATCTCATAATGAGTTGAAATGAAATGAAAATATCTTTATTCAAGTAAGCTTGTTACAAGCACTTTTGAATCGTCCAAAAAATTTTTCGCCTACCACTTGTTCAGGACGTCTTTTAGCTGACAAGAACAATAAGCGAAAGAAACTTACCAGCTCTTTATCACGATATCTGTAATGTTTGTTGTTAGATTTCTATCGTTCAAAATAGATTCATGGCTAACAAATATTTAAAATAAAAAAGCTAGGTATTGGTAAGAAAGAAAGAAAGAAATCATTTACTAAACACACACACACATGCAATTTTGCAAAAGACATTAATAAATTATTATTAAATTATACAGTGCATCCGATGTGGTGTCTAAAAGGTGCCAACTCGTCATGTGCTGCAGTTATCTGCAGCGTTGCTTTTCGGTTGGCCCCCTTAGGTGGTGTGGTGAAGCCCCGCTGGGCCAAATCAAAATAAAAGAAAACAAAAACAGTGGTAATCATAAATACCCAATTATTAAACATACAATACCTCACATATAATTTCATAATATATATGCATAAAATACCTACGATCACACATCAATACATCATAAATAAAGCCTTCACATATATATACATATACCTGTAGTAACAATGATATTACAAACAATTATATTATTATTGCAAGAAATTATTAGAAACGACATTTAGCGCTGCGGAACGTACTTCATCAACTTAAATCTAAAAGTTCACTTCGTTTATTGACTGAGCCCAATGTTTCAGATTTTGACATATTTCGTAACATCATTCTTCAGTTCTTAGTGTTATTTCTTAATATTTTTGATATGGTTAAAGGTAAGAAATTATATTTAATTATGTAAAGATTAGTTCAAATTCATTGATAATTGCAAATCTGACAGAAGATCCGCCAACTATCTTCGACAGTATGCTATTTTAATGGGATGGAAAGATGATCATAATTCTTCAATAAATTCAGGAGCTCTCTTGCGGAAGCACCTTGCTATAACTGTGAAACTACGAAATCTAGCAATTTCTAGACCCAGTATCTGCAAGACCTGCTGTGTACACATATACATTTACTTGTACAAGCGACAAGTAAATCGCACAATCATTACCCTTATATGTGCTTTGTCCTCAGGAGTTGTAATATCTTGAGGATGATGGTTAAATAAAATAAATAAATATAAAACAACATCACATACATTGCTCAAATTCCAATATGAGTAGCTAAAGCCCCCGTATTATGGAGTATCTGAGACAACGAAGGTACCACAACACCCAAACCCGAGATAATATGGAAAAGTTAATTTTCTACATTGACCCGATCGGGAATCGAACCTGGGACTTCAGAGATGTCGACACCATGAAACCGGCGTGCGAATCACTCGGCTACGGAGGTTGCGAGATTTGTTGCCTCTTGTGCATGTGAATTTGCGAGTGTTACTGACTGGATGTTGTAGGTAGCTGTTAGACATCGTAGTTTCATATATGGTAGTTAATTCTGTTACAGGAACACACTCTAACATTATCTGTGTTACATATTTATGTAACAACGTCCTGGATCATGAAGAACATGCTACTAGAAACCTTATTATGTACTGTAAAAAAATTATGTCGCTATAAATGTGAAATTTGAACTTATCACTGAATTCATAACTAAAGGTCTGCAACTATAAGTAGATTTTCCTAGTTGTTGTAGATTCTATTATAGTTGTAGATTTTTCTACTGTGTACCATGCTGCGTTCAAAGTTGTACTACAGTAATCGAGAGTGCTTAACAGATAAGCACTCTTGGTACCTGTAGTATTTATTATGAAATCACTTATTAAAAAAAATTATAGAGATGAAGGCTGTAAGGTAGATATGAAATAAAAAAATAAAGTCAGTTATCAAGAGACCTCTGTGCTTTATTAACGTCTCACATAACATGGCGTAGTCGGTAGGATTAAAGTGAAAGTATTACATGTATAAATAAAAGTGATTAGTAACACATAATTAAAATCATGGAGACTGTGTTATCGCCGCCAAAACCGTTTTATTTTGATCATGGTTCAATGAATATAACATCTGCAAATTTAAGCGAGAGCTGGAATAAATGGAGGAAGGGATTCAAAATATATTTTGATGCTTGCGAACTGGGAAAAAAGACGGCGGACATTCAAATAAATATATTACTTCACATTGTGGGTGAGCAGTGCAGAGAGCTGTATGAACAGTTTACATTGAAATCTAAAACAGTGAATGATTTGTTAACCCAATTTACACAACATTTTGAACAAAAGAAAAATATTACAGTGGAAAGACATAAGTTTTTTACGAGAAATCAGACTGAAAATGAAACTATCGAACAATATGTTTATGATTTGAAAAAACTGGCGACTACGTGTGAATTTGAATCATTGTGCGATTCATTAATTAAAGATCGTTTGATTTGCGGCATACGAAATGTGGGTATACGAGAACGACTGTTGCGTGAAGCGGACCTGACACTAGAAAAAGCAATGGACATTTGTCAGGCAGTTATTATCTCTAAAGTTTACTCGGAGAATTTGAATATACAAAATAACAATGAATATGTATTAAATATAAACAAAACCAAGAATATTACCGATACCGATGAAAATAATTTAATATGGAGATTGAATAAAAAAAATTATCGAAATACTCGTAGTAGAAGTGGACAAACTCAGCGCACGTACACATACAGCGCGCCTATAACTGAGCCAACGGCGGTGATGTCGTCGAGAACCCGTGGTCGTGAGTGGAGCGCGCGAGGCTGCGCATCACCGACAGGGCCGGCGCCCGGGCATGCTGCCGGGACCGGTTATAGGAATGTAATTGCGAAGTGTAACAAGTGTGGCGCGTCTCATTATAGAAATCAGTGTCCGGCATATGGAAAACAGTGTTTACGGTGTTCACGTATGAATCATTATGCTCGAATGTGTGGAATTTATTCTATAGTAGAATCGGAAGATCAGGTAATTTATAGTTTAGTTGATAAAATTAATGATAATTGGTCTATAATTTTAAACATTAATGGTGTTGACTTAGGTTTTAAGATGGATACGGGGGCCGATGTCAATGTATTGCCACTACGATACATCAAGAGATTAGGGTTGAGTAAAACCGAACTATTAACAACGAGTACTAAATTACATGAATATTCGGGAGCAGCTATAAATGTGATAGGTAAATGTTATCTTAAGGTGAATTGCAGAAACAATACTCATATTTTAGAATTTAAAATTGCGAATGTAGAATCGACTCCAATTCTAGGTAAATATTCATGTGAGCAACTAAATTTGATAAAAAGAATACAAAATATTAACGAAAATTCTGTGGAACCAAGTATCATAAAGGATTATAAAGATATATTTGAAGGGCTAGGATGTTTGCCAGGAAAATATAAAATTGTGTTAGATCCTAATTGTAAGCCTGTAGTGCATCCACCAAGAAAAATTCCCCACGCTATAAATGATCAGGTGCAAGCAAAGTTGAAGGAAATGGTTTCACAAGGAGTTATAGAAAAAGTAGAAGGCCCTACAGACTGGGTGAATAGTATCACAATAGTTAAAAAGCCAAACGGTGATTTAAGGATTTGTCTCGATCCAAAAGAACTTAATTTAGCAATAAAACGTGAATATTTTAGGTTACCTACCGTAAATGAAATCTTAGCTAAACTGTCAGGGGCAACTATATTCAGTACCCTTGATGCAAAAAATGGATTTTGGCAATGTCAGTTACATGATGATAGTTCAGAGTACTGTACCTTTAATACTCCCT